TATATATATATATATATATTGATACATATACATCACATAAATAAAAAATACTATGGAACTTGATATTTTCGGACAACAAAAATAATCCCACCCGAAAATAGGAAGCAACTGATACACCACCAACAAATTTTCATCATCCAACACAAATCTCGAGGCAAAATTTTCATCATCCAACATAAATCTCAAGCCGAAAATTGCTCAATTCCGACATCATTAAGGTACTCAAATGTCCATTAAACGTCGTCTCATTGGAGAAAGCTCTCCGGACCGTCCGATCAAAATGGGTTATATTTCTGTATTAATTGCACCCATAACGCTATAAATATGTTTGGGGGAGGTCTTGAGAGGGAACTTGAACCTTTGAGAAAAAGCTAAAGTTCAACACCATCATTACCGTCGTCGATTGCTGTCGGCAACCGCCAGGCACCACCGACCGTTGTCGACCACCGCCGATCAACGTCGACCTCTGACCTCCGTCAACCACCACCGATCTTTGTTGACCACCAATCGTCGTCTACCACCGCCGACCTCCTTCGATCATAGTCGACCACTGTCGATCGCCATCGACCACTATCGACCGACATCGACAACTGCCCATCACCGTCACACTAATGTCATCGTCAACCAAATAGTCATTAAACATTACCAATTACCGTTGACCACTACTGACCGAAAACAATCAGTCGACATTGTAACTTGAGAAACCCAACAACACTTCCCATCTGTGGGACAAGGGATTTCTAAAATATTCAATCAATACTGAATTTTTCTAACTAAATTAGGCCTCATGGTTTTGCCCTTTATGAGTTTTCCATGTAAAACCTCTAACGTCAGTATTGGTTGTTTTTCTTTCACCTAAGTGTGAGCTGAATTCTCGTGCAATACTAAGACAATAATCCATTATTCTACTGCCGCAAATTTTTTAGCACACATCAATCTGTAACGTACATGCACTTAGCACTAAAACATGTTGTAAGATCACCATAAAATATGAAAATAGCATCTTTGTTGAATAATTATCATGGCCTTTCTTTTCTCAATATTTTATGTACAAGTGCTGTACTTCGAATTGCTTGTCCGTGATTGGTGGTGTAAACTAGGCATGACAAACTAGAGTCACCCTCTTAAGATATTAATTGAGCTCAAGCTCCAATAACATATTTACTACGAAAAAAAAATGATTTTGATTCATTTTTTAAATAAAACAATAAATAATCATTTGATATTAAAAAAATGAGATTTTTTTAAATAGTTTTATTAACATTGTACTAAAACTCTTGAATTTAAATATATTTTAACCATAGTTTATATTAACATTTATAAATTAAGCTGGCTCACAAATTAATGAGTCAGATCAGGGTTTGCTCAAATTTAACTCATTAGCTCACCAATCTCATACTCACAAACCATTTATCAACTTAAACCAGAGTTAGTTCATGAGTTGGCTCGACTCGATATGATTAAAAAACTTAATTAAATATGTGTGAAAGTTGTCTATAGATTGTCATGAATCAGTTCAGAAGCTTTCTACAGGTTATCATAAATCAACACATGCAGCCACTACATTCATTTCCAATTTTCTATTCTGGAAATGAATACTGATCGCACTCAATTGTTCACTACTTATTTTAAAGATGAATCAATTCTCTAATTATATAGATCATCTCTTGTGAAATTACTTCTTTTAAAGCATGGCTAGGAAGTGTACCACGAAACATCATTCATTCCTTATTCCCTAGACTTCATTTGTCATTTTTCGGAGATGAACAAATTACATCTATCTATGTATATATAGAAAAAAGCTTCCTAGTGGCTAACATGAATCAGTATGCAAGGTCTATGTTTTATGAATTATTTTAGAGGCATTTACATGCACTCCACCCAATTCCTATGCATTTACATATCAAACACCTAAAGTTTGCTTTTTTACATTTCAACCACCCAAAACATTACATATCTTATAAAAAAATATCAACACTAGTACTTTTAAGACGTGAAATACAGATTTTCAAAGGTAAGGTGGTATGCGTGTAAAAATTGAAGTCTAGGTGTTAGATATGTTATATAGGAATTGAGTGGTATGAATGTAAATCTTTCATTAATTTAAACAAACCCATCTTTCATTTAGTATATCTTCTTCTGCAGTTGAACAAATAATCCTTAACATGCATGAATTCCTTTACAAAAAACTTCATATTTTCATATATTCCAAATTTTTCATTTAATATTAAAACAGTATCACCACTTCAGTGTCATAGCGAGTTCAAGCAGGGTTTCTACCTGGTGAATAGTCTGTTTCTTCTCTTGTAGCTTCAGCCGAGCCGCAACCGATTCGGGATCGAGACCCTGAGGAATGCTGCCTCTGTTCTCAGCTTTGACTTCTTGTAGCAATTCGTCAACCTCTCTAATAAAGTCAACTCTCAATAGCAAGTCATTATCTTCAGGTGGGAGTCCAATATGACCTTCATGCTGGAAAGAAGGAACATGTTCATCTTACTTGAATAAAACTAATTGCTGTTAAAATGAGTTTCCTTCCACTATGGTAAACCATGGAAGTATTCACGAATGTTTGTATTGATTATATGGTAGAAGCCATAGCCACACAATGGGGCTGTTGGGGTATACGTAGGATTTATTCACAAAAGACCTGGTAAATTTTGTAAATTTAGATTTGGTGGATAATGGAAGCATTAAATACTCAAAATTATTTAGCATGTCATATGTTAAATATGGTTAAATCCTTAAAATTTCTTTGACAGATTTTTACAATTTAGAATTTAAGGAGAAGAAGAAAAGAGACACAGTGTGGAGAAGTAGTGTGTTATCTCCTAAATTCTACTTTCCCAACGTTTACAAAAGTTAAGAATTTAGCCTAAAAAGGGAGAAAAACAATATTTAGGAAAATAGCAGGATTTATATATGGATTCAAAAATATTTCAGAGAAATTTAGGCTACATCATCACTTAAACAAGACATTATTCACAAATGTTTCTATTTGGCTACAAGTAATATTTAATCCGAAAAAGATTTAGCAAATTTTGTAAATTCAGATTTATTGAACTCTGGATGCATTAAATGGTCAAATTGGTTTAGCATGTTAAATTCTAAAAACTTTTTGAAAGGCATTTTTGAGGTCTAGAACTAAAACAAAGGTAAAGAGACAGTGAGAAGTTGTGTATATCTACTAAATTCTATATCCCCAAGATTTACAAAATCCAGAATTTAGTCTAATACAAGAGAGAACATGATTTAAGAAACAAATAGTAGGATTTATGTGGCTAAGAAAATCATGTTGGCAAGATTTAGCCTAAATCCTGATTAAACCTTATCAAAATCTTGCAATGAAAGATTGCATGTGTAAGAAATTGAGAAGTGCCAAAATGTGGTAAGGTTTTTTTTTTTTAAACAGGATGTGTTTTTCATCATCAAATTAGAATTTGGTGTCAATAAAGGCCTTACATTGTTAATGTCAAAACCAGGAGGGGCAAGAATGCTGAAAGGATCCTCTCGAGGAAAAGTGTCGATCATGCGTTTCCGACATTTTTTCAGCCAACCCTCATGGTCGTTCCCACAATAGAGGTTCAAGAGATCATTTAGCAACATCATGGATGCTGTAGCTTCCCTCTTTAGAATCTCTGTCTGTAAACTTAAAATGGAGAAAATGATCCAATGATTCTATGTCAGGTTATTTATATTTCATAATGAATAAGAACCCATTACAAAATATCAAAGTTAACATGGAAAAAAGTCATACCTCTACTCTCCTATATAAGAGGTCAAGACTTCTAATGACATCCTTCTCGTCCTGAAAAGTAAAAAGGGAAATGAGAAATAGAAGCTAAATAAAATGACGAGAGAAAACAAATCTGCAAATATTGAATGTAAAATAAAATACTAAAGACAAATCGACTTACACTTAATTTAATAATATTTGTATGCAAATGAAATTTCAGGGAAATTTTGATGGTTGTATGTGATGTATAAAAGTAGATCCAGTGTGAAACTTGAATTATGGAGGTCTACTTTTGAGTCTAAGGGCCTTCGTTTGAGTAAATCTAAAACTGAATACATTGAATGTAATTTCAGTAGTAGATCTTATGGCATAGTTGTAACAATGAGTGATCAAATTATTAAAAGGAGTGAACATTTCAGATATCTCGGGTTTATTATTCTAAGTGATGGTAAAATAGATGGGGAATGCAACGAGCTTATTGTGTGATAGAAAAGTGCCACTTAGACTAAAAGAAAATTTTAAAAGATGGTGGTGAGACCTGCAATGCTTTATGGCCAAAATGTTGGTCAATAAAAGAGAACCAGTTAAGTGTTGTTAAGATGAGAATGCTTAGGTGGATGAGTGGTAATACGAAATAAATATACCCGTGAAAGGGTTGGTGTAGCTCCAGAAGTAGACAAGATTAAAGAGAGTCGTCTTAGATGATTTGATCGCATTATACGTCAACCATCTGATGATGCAGTTAGGAAAGTAGATATTTTAGATTTTACTTATGTTAAGAAAATTAGATGTAGACCTAATAAGAAGTGGGCATGTTGTATTAAAAACTAGCTTAATTTATTAGAATTAAAAGAGAATATGACACTCAATAGGACACAATGGAGAAAAAGGATTCCCATGTAGTGGGATAAAGTCTTTTTATAGTTTTTGCTGTTTCATGTGGTATAGAAAAGGCAAAATCATAAGCATGAAGCTACTGATTTGTCGTTTTAAGTTGGCAGATAAGTTAGCTGGTTAAGAATGACTGTGGCTGAAAGTTTAAAGAAGATACACATGCATACCACTGAATTCTTATGTAACTAACACCTAAACTTCAATCTTTACATACATGCCACCTTACCTATGCATGAAAAAGAGTATTTCACATTTTAAAAGTTTAAATAGTAGAATTTTTTATGTAACATGAAAGATTTGGGTATTATAAATGTAAAAATTAAAGATTTGGTGTTAGATAAGTAAATATATAAGAATTAGGTTGTATGTATTGAAATGCCCTAATTAAATATGATAACTAGCACGTTTAAGTGCGTTGAACAATCCTGTGATCATCCCAAAAGAATAGTCGTAATCTCCCAATCTCCTTCCATCCTCAGTGTCCATAACAAAAAATTGAAATTTTGCAGTGCAGGGAAAAAATACTCACATCGCGACGAGCAAGATCAAGACGATTCCATATGACCATCAAAACTAGCTCTGTAAGTTGGCCTTTTTCAGCAGCCTCCTCAATTTTCTGCATAATAAATGAAAAGCTCCAAAAATGACAAAAATAATGGTTCATTTTTTATGTTATTGAAAAAGATGCGCGAATAAGAAACACTAAAAGGTAAATATGCATTTTTAATTAATATCAAAAATATCAAAAGAATTAACTCATAAGAGTAACAAGTTAGAGATAAACTTGATAAATTTTACAAAACCTAAGCAACTTCAAGGCGCAAAACAATTATAGGAAATAGTGGTACGAGGATTTTATTTGACTGAAATGTGTGCCAAAAAATTTTTTACACAGTATTATTATTTTATTTTTTTTATTATCTTGGACACATCTCAAAACATGTCTGTCACTGCACACTTCTAGTTTTTGAAGTACCAGCGCATCCTAAGTACTAGGATTTTATTTGACTGAAATGTGATGCAAAAACATTATAAGTACTAGTTGGACTGAAATGAAAAGGCTGTTGATGCTTTGTTGCAGAAATATAGTCAAATCCAAGCAAGGAGAAAGGGACATGTGGCTAGCCACTCCAAAAAAAAAAGCTATGTTATCTTCTTCAATCATAATTACTTACCATTATGTTGTGTTAAATTCTTATTGTTTCTTGCCGTATATCTCTTTTACTAACCATCCCCTAATAGATAAAATGTATTTCCTATCAACTAATTTAGGTCATCTGCCAATGATCATAATAAACAAGATCTATTTTTTTAAAAAAAAAATTTCTAGAAGCCATTTGAACGATTTAAACCTCTTGAAAATTTATGAAAACTCCATATCCAAACAAGAAATGATTGTTCATCATCCACAAGACTTTACAGCCCTCTTTGAAAAGCTTTAAATCTATTCCATCTACCATTGAGTGTGCTAACCCTAATCTCCACACTAAGTAGATGCAACCCAAGACAAATCAGAAGAAAAATACAAAACTTTATTTCAACTACGCTTGCTCTTCCGACTTCAGTCTTGAGGTTCCTACACCCTATCTATCACCTTTTAATATTAGAATAGAGCAAGTAGGATTCAATAGCTTGTTGAGAGTTCTTTTATCCTATTTCTCTATACATCCTACAAAGGACAGTAGCCAACCCTGATTCAAAGGAGCACTACAAACTTGTTTTAGTATCAAATTTATTGATAGAGTGTAGAGATTTGATATTTTTACCAATGAGTTTGCCACCTTTGAGGGACATTTTGCATACCATAGATGTAATTCATGGTTTACAAATGGCAATATAAGATGAACCTAAAGGAGCATGTTAAACAAAAGATTCAAATTGACTAACTCTTAAGAACAGGCTTCATTCAATGAAACTTAAGTCCCTGTGCAGTTTCTACTCACCTAAAATAAGATAGGCATTAAATATCATATTCCTATATGACATACTTAATCATATTGTTGGATCAAATCTATTCTTCATAATAGATTCAAGAATTAACAACCAACAAATCAAAATTAGACTTGTGAATGAATGAAAAATAGCTATTAAAATCTTATATGGTTTTTATAAGCGACTGATTATGCCTTATGGATTAGCTAAGAGCTCAAGCACATTCGTGAGTTTGTTAAACATAATTTCAAAGTCTTTTACTAGTTGTTTTCTTGTAATATATTTCGATGATATTCTTATCCATAGCCCTAAGAAATTACATAATAATAGCAAAGCTTTATATTTATCTTACATAAGGAATTACATAATATATTTTGATTTTGATGATCATCCAAGATTAATCTCAGAGAAATTGAAAATAGCAAAGCATTATATTAATCTTAAAAAGAATGCTTTAGTTAAATAGTTTGAATTTTTAATTATAATAACTTGAATTTATAAAACCATAGTAAATTACTTGCATGTTTTTATTTGCTCATAATCAAGCATCTTCACCTAATTTTTCTATATATTATTGATTAAAGATAATAAACTTAAATAAGATATTAATAAATTTTTTATTATTTAATTAAATTTTATATGAAAATTTTGAAATCTTTAAAAATGATTCACGAAATAAAATTTACCAAAATACTATAATGACATTTGAGTTAGATAATTAAAAATAGTAAGTATATTGTATTTAGCAGACTTAAAATTTTATGATAAAACTTTGGGTAAATACCTAAATAAATTATTTATATTTATTTGAAGATTAATTACTACATGGAAGAATTAACAATAAAATATTAAAATGCACATCAATAAAATATTAAAATGTGCATTTTTGCTTATATTTTTTAAAAGCGATTTGATAGGTTACGCGACAAATTTCTAATTTGAATTTAATTAATATGATTTTTAAAATGTTACCAGCCAATTTTTCATTTATTTGCAACCATTTGAGATATTTTTTGACTTGTCGACTATCCATTTAAATTTAATATAAAATAATTTTATATTAAATATTATATTAGTATTTGATAAAATAATGTTTCAATATTGTCTTACTTTAAAATTGTTTAAAATTTCATGCTATCCATAAATAACTTTATTTTTTTCATGTAAGAGCTACTCTTGAAGTAATAAAATTTCAGCATATACTCTCTTCTTCTTTCTTATCTTTGAACAAAAAATTTAACAAGTGAAATCTAAATTTTTATTCCAAGCATTCTACATCGTTAAAAAATTGATTTTTTAGCTTAGAAGCTTCAATGCACTGAACAAGAAAATTCTCTCGAAGTCCTTGGATTTGTTTTTTATTTTAAATTTTAAATTGCTACTTTATAGTTTTCATCTCATACTTTTCTTAGAAATTTCTATTTTTAGGCGAAATATTATGAGCATCTTAAAATAAGATTTCTATGACTAAATTCTTTCATTCATAAAATTAGCAAGCCAATTCAATTTAGCATAAATCTATTTCAAAATTTAATGACTTTAAAAAAATATTAAATTGACACATTTTAATATTAATAGTAACTTTTCTTTTCAAACGAGTGAACAAAAAATTTCAATTTAAAGTTTCAATAATATTGTTAATCTAAATCAAGACATAAATATATTTTATATTGAGTAAGTTTTACATTTTATTTGTAAGTTGTGAGGTGATTAATTATACCTTATAAAATCACCTCCAATATTTTCCAAGTCATTTTACTGGAACAAAATTTGAGCTCATATAATCTAGAATAAGTTGTGCTTTTCTTCTTTATCCAAGTTATTAAACTTAGTGAAATTATCATTGCATTTAGATTCAATTTTACTCACCTATAACAAAATAATTAAGTTGTAAGCTGCTCAATTGGTTTCAAGAAATAAAGTTTGTAAGGCAAATTTTATAATATGGTGGTGAGACCTGTAATGTTTTATGGCGTAGAATTTTGGACTGTAAAAAATAGCCATAAAGTTAATTAAAGTTTTGTTGGGATAAGAATGCTCGGGTGGATGAGCGGCTTTACACTTAAGAGACAAAATATGAAATAAATATACCTGTGAAAGGGTTAGAGTAGCTTCCGTGACAGCAAGTTTAGAGAGTCTCCTTAGATGGTTTGGTCATGTTAAGCATCAGCCATCTGATAACCCAGCTAAGAGAGTAGATGTTTTAAATTTGACCTATGTTAAAAAAGGTAAAGATAGACCTAAAAAGACAGACTTGAACATGTTGTATGTTGTATAAAAAATGATCTTAATATGTTATAATTAAATGAAAATATATCAAACGCTTCAGAACCAAAAGCAACGAGCTGATGACGGAGAAATGATAATAGATAGGTGAAAAAACTCAAACAAGACTGCTCTTACGAAAAACAAAGGAAAACAAGATACAATGATCTACTTTTCGAGAGGTAAATCATCTCTCTCACAACTTTAGACTTCGCTATGAACACTACAAGAGGAAAAGAAACACCAACCAACAAGTATGCATAAGAAAAACAACCATAGGCTATCTCCCCTCATATAACCCTCTCCCACAAAACTTAACAAATTCCCCCCCCCACCCCAATCTCCTTCAATTGTTCCTCCTTGAGTATGTGATTATGGCCCTTGTGAACCCCACCTACTATGTAATTTCCTCTGTCGCTGCTCCCTGCCGTTCCGCCTCTTCTCACTTAGTCGCCCATCCCGCTTCTTCTCGTGGAATTGCCCGACTCACTTGTTGTTGTGGTGGGTCAGTTGGATGGCTCTCGACCGGTCGAGGAGGTACCGGTTCATATACAGGCGTAAAAATACTCCCCTCCCAAAAAAGTACATTGTCCTCAAGGTGGAAGGATGTAAACTATTTGTGGATCACCCCGTAAGGCTTTCACGTTGCTTCATAATCTGACAAGTCTTTCCACTTAACAAATACCTCTTTTGCCCCCCCCCCCCCCCCCCACCCCCTTCGCGCC